ACATGCAGTAGGTGATTACAAGGTTTGGGTAGCCCTAAATGCTTTCATTCACTTGAGGTTGTATCGAGGGTTGGAGTACTCCAGTGCAGCCATGTCACAACCAGGAATTTACGCAGGGCACCAGGGGGTGCGACTTAATCAAGTCTGTACCCCATTAGCCCAACTCTGAACAAACCTGTCCATTACAGCTAGATGATTTTTTGGTCTATTTTTCTTTCAGTAGGTTCTAAAGTGCATCAGGTTCAATGACTGTCTTACCTTTTTTTTTTTTTTTTTTTTTTCATCTGGTTACTGCTTTGAATCATAGAATAGTTAGGGTTGGAAAGGACCTTAAGATCATCTAGTTCCAATCTTCCTGCCATGGCCAAGGACACCTCATCCTAAACCATGCCACCAAGGCTCTGTCCAACCTGGCCTTGAACACCACCAGGCATGGAGCATTCACAACTTCCTTGGGCAACCCATTCCAGTGCCTCACCACCCTCACAGTAATGAACTATAGCAAATAGCCTTTCTGACCATCTGCAGAAGGGAAGTAAATGAGCGGCATGCTGCAAGAGCTGGCCTTTTTTCTTTCCCTCACCCATCCATCTGCTGCCTCTATTCCTGCATTTTCTGGCAGTGAGCTGGCTGCTAAATCCTGGTTACATAAAGGCTGGAACTGTACACCTGTAGGCCTGTCAGCCTCAGCCAGCTGCTGATTTTCCTCCTTCCAGGTCACATTGGTCTGAAAAGTTCAAGAGCCACACGGGCAGGACCTTGCTGTCCAACAGTACAGCCCCAGGGTGTCCTGCACACATCCAGCAGCAAGAATTTGGGCATTTTCCACTTTAGTCACTGCCATGAACAAGATGCTGGGCTAACTTAGCATTGAGTCTGACACTAAATGACCATCATATTTAACTCTCGGTGTTTCTTGTGCCATTTCCTCATCTGCATGCAGTGTCATCCCCTTCTCCTGAGTGTTCAGTCCTGTGAAGAGCTGCTGCTGTGACTTGAGGCTTTGCTACTGTAGACCCATGTTTAACCACAAGTCTATAGGAATATTGATACTTTCCTGTGTCTTTAGATTGCTGATTTAGCAAGAATCAAATTTGGCAAAGCACTAAAAACGCAGATTTCAAGAAATGTGGATGTTACTATGCTATGTAAACGTAACACACATCCCACCAAGGCTGAGCTGTAACACTGTTTTTCCATGTTTGGAAGATGGGTCTCTTGATGAAGTTGTTTTAAGCTCTAAGGAAACCTGGAGAATGGAAAAAAACCCAAAATACTCAAAACCCAAATAAGAAAATTTACACAAACACATGTAAATGATTTCAGCAGTTACCACACTTATGTCCTTTGACAAAGAAACCTCCTCCAAAATAAAACACAACATTACAGTTTATGTGCAAGGAGTTCCAAACTCATCTCATGAAACTGGCAAATGTCTGTCACAAGGTCACAGGATACTCCTGAACAGCATTTTGAGTGGGGAAAAGGGAAAGGGAATATACAAACCACAACACGAGACTAAGGGCTCTGTACCATGCTGAGATGTTAGAAGTTCCAGTACAGCATAAGAAGGATCAGACTTATCATTTGAAAGACAGATTAGCAAGAGGGGGTGATGACATTTATGATACTCAGGCTGGTGCTCTTCTCTTAAAAGACTCAAATTGGTACCAAATTTTCTATCCTGCTGCCACTGAAGATGAATTCTTCAGGCCTTCAAAGACCTTGATTTATAATGATGGCAACTGAATCTGGTGTAGACTGGAAAGTCTTAATATGCAGAAAAACATTAACATTTTTTGGCACCTTCTGCTGGCACAGAAACCCAATAAAGGAGACAGCAGGAAAATAAAGAGTAAACTCTTTGTTCTGAACTGAAGATATGAAAGGGACAATAGGAAGAATCTTGGAGTTAATAAAACAGGAACTCTTCAGTCTCTGGTGCTGCCAAGGTCTTTCTTTAATTGCATGTGGGTAACAAGATACCTACCAAATGACTCATTTACAGGTAGATAATGCCTTGACCACAAATGCTGGAGATTCTGCCACTTGGGATTCTTCAGAAACACATCCCATTTTTCTGTTCAGCCCACTAGCCACTAGTTCTGGCACTATAAGAAAAAAAAAGTCAAGTTACATAAAAGGAAGAGATCACCAGTCATTAAAATACAGCCAGGCAGCATTAGACAACCCCTCCAGATGGCTCTTCTTGATATTTTTCTCATGGTGGCTCCTCACAAATTTCTCTCCTGTGTAACAAGTGGCTTCATTCTTGCTTCCAAGATACCTTTCAGGAGCTCAGCCTGCCTTCTCTGCCTCATGTGACAGTGAAGTTTCCAAGTACCAGACTGCAGCTTATATACACAAAGTGAGACAAAAGTGCATATGCTCAGTGAATACCTTCAGCAGTCTTTGGGAAAGCAAGTAGAGTCCTCTAGTGCTTTGTAGTAAATGCATTTACTACAGGATGCAAGTTTTACACAAACGGGATCTCACTGTACCTTCCATTAGAAGTTCAAATGTGGCTGGCAAGGAATCCAGTGAAAACTGTTCTTAAAAACTCCCACATTTTCTTACAACCATACTAGTGAGGCTCCAAAGCTCTCCTGCTTTGTCACCATAGGTCTCACATGCGAGCAAAGTGAAAAGGCTCTCTCCATTCTGCTGTTTTGTCCTTTCTTGTTCTTGTCTTCTTCAGCCCTCATGGCCAAGTCATGTATTTAGTAACTGAGCTGCTAGATTTCCTGCCCACCACCCAGCACTGTAGTCTGGAATTATTTTTAAAGCAAGTTTTAAATCTTGCAATTGTTTTGAAGACAAACTGGTATGTGAACAGCTGTATTGGGTGATAAATACTTTTAGCATGGAAAGTATTTTCCAAGCTTTTTCACAGAAGAATTTAATTTACCAAGAAAAACAGTTGTTCAAAGCACAGAAGTTAATGTCTAAATAGCTAAAAAAAAAAAAAAAAGTAAAAGCTTATTTCTAAAAATTAAAAAATCCTTGCTGCTTTTTCTGGTTATTTAGGATACCCTTCGTTTTTCTCCTGAACGTTTACAGCCACAGAAAGGAAGAAGGGGAAACACTACCCCCACAAATCATAACTTTCCCAAAGGTACAGGCAATTCATACAGAACAGCATAACTAACCTCCCCACCTACATTTTGCTGGTTCTAGTTAATCTTCTCTTAACTCTGGAATGAAAAACCCCTTCCCAAACACTCTTTGCCACCACTGATCTAATGGACATGGAACAGAGCTGTCATGGTTTGCTGGAAGTAACTGTGGAAACATGATTATGTATCTACCTGTTGCATCTCTGCTGTTGGCAGTGTCCAGTTTACAGCTGGATGTAAAAGACCCTTGATGATTTTAAGGGTCTTTTACAGCCAGAATGATTCTGTGATCTCATATATAACAACACCCTGTTGCATACCTGTATTTCTTTCTACCAGACAGATTACCTCCATAAGCCTGGTTTATGCTGTTTAGAGACATGCATAACCCTCCTTGCAGCAGGAACAATTTGCCCACTACCACACTAAATAGCAGCATCATGCAGAGTGAGATCATGGGTTATCAATGCACTTCTCGTGTTGTCCTCACACAGGACACCCTGCAGGAAAAATCAAAGGGGTGATACTCCTCAGGAATTTCAGACACTGATCTTCACTTACAGGGATTCTGGCCTGATTTAAGTCACTCCTGCCGATGCTTAACAGTTAGATTTGGACCAAGGCAGTGTATGCTATACACACAGCAAAGTCCTTCCAGGAAAAACAGCATCTGAGAACTCACACATGGAACAAACATTAAGGTACTCACTGCGCTGGCTGTGGCTGGGGCAGAGTTAATTTTCTTCACAGTAGCTAGTATAGTGCTATGTTTTGGATTTGTGCTGGAAACAGTACTGGTAATTTTAGGGATGTTTTAGTTACTGCTAGTGCACAAGAAGCTGGGAGGGGACACTGCAGGATAACTGACCCCAACTGACCAAAGGATATTCCAGACCGTATTACCTCTGCTCAGCATGTAAAGCTGTCAGAAAGAAGGAAGGACACCTGCCTGACCATGGGAAGCGGTGAATGAATTCCTTGGTTTGCTTTGCTTGTGTGCACAGCTTTTGTTTTCCCTCTTAAAGTGCCTTTATCTCAACCCACATTTTTTTCTCACTTTTCTGATTCTTTCACACATCCCACCATGGGAGAGTGAGTGAATGGCCTCACACCACCTCAGACAACACAATGTTCATTACACAGGTTGAGCGACACATTGTTCAGTGTGGACTTATCCCAACCAGCCCACTACCCTGCTCTTACCAGTTATCAAGAGTTTCTAAAGGCTTCACATGAATACTGCTCAGATGTGTTTCAGTAACACATGATACAAGTCCAATACACAGAACTACACTTGCCTCTTTTGTAGCCCACTGGAAATTAGCAACAGCACTGGCTTTGATTTCATTTGGATACTAGATTCCTTCTGTGATGTCAACTAGGATGTCTGGACCAGTACCGTCAAGTCTAAAGCACCAAATCTGACATGTCTCAGACACATCCCACTTGATTTCTCTGCCAGGTAATGTGTATGCTGCTCCAGTTCTTGAGAGTAACCGACTTCCTCTTTGCCTGCACCCTCTGCCAGGCCATCAGTAAAAGGTCCAGCCTTTGTATGCAGCCTTTGTGTTCGGAGATATAGACGAGCACTCCTGGCTTGACTCAGCACCAACAGCCTCATGTAAACATGACACAACTGGGTCTCATTTCTGTCAAGCAGATCAAAGACAAAACCATACCAAGCATAAAGCTGATCACTTCCAAACACCAGTCCAATGCCATTCAATAAACTGCAGCTTCTCCCTAAGGCAGTGTGTTAATGGCAGGTTCACTCAGTCATCCAGGCATGCTCTGCTAGCTTCATCAAGAGAAACATTTTCAACAACATGTTTGTGGTTACCACTGTTGTTCAAGTTATTTTTTGTGTTCACTGGGTTTTCTTCACATCTCTGTCTTAATTCTAAGGTCTTTGAATGTAATAGTAAAAGATCTCTTACATTATTTAATTGGTCAAATTCCTAAAAGGTTTCAAATTGCTTTAAGGAAGATGCTCTAAGGAAACCAACAACAGCATATTAAGATGATATTTTCAAAGGTTAATACTTAGTCGTATTCTATACACTGTGGTCCACAAAAATCCTTGAGTACCTTCACTGGAATACAAGCATGATCTTCTTCCAGATCTTTAAGGCAGATTTCTGGATGCAGAGCCCATTCTCCAGCAATGATGTGTTCACAAAACTCTTCAATATTGCACTAAAAGAAGAAATGGTAGGGAGTAAACCTTTTAAGAACTTATTAACAGAAACACAGACTAAATCAGAAAAATGTCAGATTGCAAAAGCGCTCAGCCGAAAGTATTCAAAATTTAACAGATTATCATCTCTACATGGTTTCCAGGAATGCTCCAGAAGGAATCTCCTCACCAACAAAACTGGGTACTCTCACACTAAACAGTTTCTACTGAAGTAGCATTAAAAAAAGCAGAAGAAAAAGTACTGCTCAAAAACCCAGTGCTGCTGCTGTGTTTTTCCTCAGGATCTTCCTATTCAAACATCAGAATGTTTCTAAAAAAAAACAGAGGATGAGCAACTGTTGTTGAATACTTGTTTTATCCCCAGTATTTCCAAAATGGTAAGCTTTTTCACACAAAGCAAAATTGCCTATTATTTGCCTATAATCCCTCTGGATTACTGATTTTATTAAACAGGAAGAGAAGACTTTTACAAAGAAACAGTATTTTCATTTCATTAAGATTCCAAAAACTAAATGCAAGTATTTGCTTTTGCATGTATTGCTCTTCAAAAGAAATACTCTATTTCTATCTACCTTTGAATGGATTTTAGGTAATGATCTTCTTTCTTGCCACGTGTGTAATCTGGTCCCATAATTTGACCTTTCTGTCGAGTAGAAGTGATACCAGAGAATACTCACCCAAAGGCACCCCTTGGCAGATGTGGGGATCATTTTGGAAATACATATCATCAGAGGGCCTCTGGCATCACAGTTTTTGAGACCTGCAATAAAATATATACTTGTATCAGACATATTTTCTGTGAGACATCAAAACTTAGAACTATATACAAATTATTCCAAAACTCAGTGAAACTTACTAACAGCTCCTCTCTAAGTCAGTAAAGGACAAATGTGTGTGGACAGATGTATTACAGCTATGGTAGTTATCAATGATTCATTGTGAATCATCACCACTGTTCTTTCTTTCAATACTGAGACCTTTGTTTTAGTACATATTCCCTGCTCCCCCATGCTCCTCTCTTCTGGTAGCATCCATGGTATCAGTACATCTCTCCTATATGAACTAGTACCAGGAGAAGTTTTGCACAGTGGGATTTAAAGATTCTCTGGAATCCATTAGAATCTAGAACACAAAATACAGCACTAGAAGTATTTTGTGTCCTCAGCGATCATATGGAAGACACGGTCAGAAGCAGGATCTCTAACCATAAATCCTGCTCTGGTTTTGCCGTAAAAAGGTATTAGTTTATTGGAGGACTAAACGCATGTGCCATCAGAGATCAGCTTCTCTTTTGACAATACTGGACTTGAAAATTACTTCAAATATGATTTATTTCAACATTTGTTGATTTCTGAGGGAAGTGACAAATCTACACAAATAAAAAGAGTAAATCCTCTTGAAAATACTCAAGTTGATGATTACAGATGATTAGAGTACAGATGAATTCTTCAAAACTTAACTCCTCCCTATCAATATCAGACTAACAGCCCTGTATCAGATTCAGCTACGTGCTCTTTATCTAGTTATGATCTCAGACACACCTACTGATTTTAAATTGACAGAGGGGAGACTGAGATGAGCTCTTAGGCAGAAGTGTTTTCTTGTGAAGGTGCTGAGGTGCTGGCACAGGGTGCCCAGAGAAGCTGTGGCTGCCGCATTCCTGACTGTTCAAGGCCAGGTTGGACACAGGGGCTTGGAGCAAGCTGCTCTAGTGGAAGGTGTCCCTGCCCGCGGCAGGGGATTTGAACTGGATGAGCTTTATGACCCCTTCCAACCGAAACCACTCTGGGATTCTGTAAGTCTATCATATTGACTGAAATGTTAAGAGAACATTCTCTGGAAATTAAAATCTAGTTGGCTTATTCCTGCCACACAGATAAATCTGCTCTGATTTAAGAATGGAATAGAAATGTAATACAATCGTAGCTGAGAGTCCTTTGTTTCAGTAACTAGATTTTCCTTGTCTCTAAATTGGAGAGACATCAATTTGACAGATGTAACACTCAGTGGATAAAGAACTGGCTGGATGGCTGCATGCAAGGAGTTGTGGTCAATGGCTCAATGTCCGGCTGGAGACCAGTAATGAGTGGTGTCCCTCAGGGATGGGGGTTGGGACCGGTCTTGTCCAACATCTTCGTCGCTGACATGGACAGTGGGATTGAGTGCACCCTCAGCAAGTTTGCCGATGACACCAAGCTGTGTGGTTCGGTTGATACCCTGGAGGGAAGGAATGCCATCCAGAGGGACCTTGACACGCTTGTGAGGTGGGCTGATGCCAACCTCATGAAGTTTAACCATGCCAAGTGCAAGGTCCTACACCCGGGTCAGAGCAATCCCAGGCACAGCTACAGGTTGGGCAGAGAAGAGATTCAGAGCAGCCCAAGGAGAAGGACTTGGGGGTGTTGGCTGATGAGAAAATGAACATGAGACGGCTTCAGTGTGGGCTCACAGCCCAGAAACCAACCGTATCCTGGGCTGCATCAAAAGCAGCGTGACCAGCAGGTCAAAGGTGATCCTGCCCCTCTACTCTGCTCATGTGAGACCTCACCTGGAGCATTGTGTGCAGTTCTGGTGTCCTCAACATAAAAAGGACATGGAACTGTTGGAACAAGTCCAGAGGAGGGCCACAAGGATGATCAGGGGGCTGGAGCACCTCCTGTATGAAGACAGGCTGAGAATGTTGGGGCTGTTCAGGCTGGAGAAGAGAAGGCTGCGTGGAGACCTCAGAGCAGCCTTGCAGTATCTGAAGGGGGTTTATAAGGATGATGATGAGGGACACTTCATTAAGGACTGTAGTGATAGGACAAGGGGCAACATGTTAAAACTTGAACAGGGGAAGTTTAGACTGGATATAAGGAAGAAGTTCTTTACTGTGAGGGTGGTGAGGCACTGGAATGGGTTGCCCAAGGAAGTTGTGAATGCTCCATCTATGGTGGTGTTCAAGGCCAGGTGGGACAGGGCCTTGGGTGACATGGTTTAGTGTGAGGTGTCCCTGCCCATGGCAGGGGGGTTGGAACTAGATGGTCTTAAGGTCCTTTCTAACCCTAACTGTTCTATGATTCAATGATTAAACTGCAGACAATTTTAGCCATAAAACAAGCTCGTGCAGGATGGTGATCTTTAAACAAAGGGTCTGAAAACTCTGATGAGAAATTTTATAACTATTTTGTGGAAAAATTAATATCTGAAGCTCCTTGATTCTGACAATTCCTTAGTCTAACAGCTGGACCACCAAAAGAAGACTTGCAGTTGACTTTAATTTACAATTCTCAGCTATGATACAGGAAATAGTATTTGTCTTTCTATTTTAAAACCATCCTTTCAGAGAGACCATAGAATCACAAAATAGTTTGGGTTGGAAAGGATCAAATCTTGGAAAGATTATCTGCTTCTACCCCCTTTATCATGTGCATATCCAGCACACTATGACATAATTAATGGTAGAGTAACAGAGACCTACATCTTTAGATCAGAAAAAGAGCAAATTAAATGTCTTACCAGTCAGGAATAGCAGAAAGGCCGTGCTTCTTGTCGTGTAAGTGACAGAAGCAGCAAACTCAGGCACAGAAAGATAATCTTACGGCTTTTAATCCTTTGCCTTGAACTTCAAATCATTCCTTCCCTTCAGCAGTTTGCCCCAGGCAAATGTCTGACATTTGATGTTTGAATGACACTGAGCAATAGCTTCAGGTTACATGTTTTGTTACTGAGAAAGTAACATTACTTTCAGGATGTTCTGCTTTATGAATTCTCTCTCCTAGTTGCTTTTGCTGCCCTATTCCTTGGTCTGAAATATGTTCCCAGAAGAAAAGGAATGAAACACTGGGGGTGAAAGGCGACTGAGGAACAGCTCCTTCGGGTTGGCTAGAGATCTGAACTGGCATAAATGTTCACACTTGTTTCATATCAAGACTGGTATTCTCCAAAATATGACTTCAACCACAGCAAAGTTTTAGTTTTCTTTACCATAATTTTACTCACTGGTCCAGTTTCACCCTCTCTGTAGGTGGAAATGATGACACTGACAATTTCCACAAGACACTGAAACGTCTTGCTAAATTTTCTCATTGCAGCTCCAGCAGCAATTCCAGCAAAGCACGATCCATTTTGTCCATCATCAGTATTGGTTTGATACATTCTGCAACAGTCTCTGCAGAACAGCCTCTGCCTGTACACAAACCCTTAAAAAAAATACGTAAGCACAATTAAAACATTAACTATATATATGGCCAAGATCTCACTGTACTTTGTATAGTGGTGACTGGGAAACTCAGACTGGGAATATGGTGGTTGTCTCAGTGCTCCCTGAAACGGTTGTTACACAGTTGTATCGCTCGATTTTCTAGCTGAAGGAGGGAAAGAATGACAGGCAGCTCCAGTACCTAAGATTTTACTGAAATGCAGTTACTCTGCATACAACCCACAAGCATGATAGGAAGTGAATATAATCCTCCAAGGTACAGGAAGGGCCATGGGCTAAGACTGCAAATCAGAATTCATACCATTAGAAGTTAAACTTTCAGAGAAAGAAGCTTCTTTCATCACTCATGATTCTTATTTTTTTTTAAGAGGAAGAAAATACACTGAGGCCTTTCTAATTAGAAGAGTATGCTTACCTGAAACACAGTCAGCCACATCAAGGACATCATTAATGGCATGGAAAGCTGCTGTAACTTCAGAGGAAAAACAAACATGTCCAGGGGAGCCAATTAAATTAATGAGATAACCTGAACCATCCTACACTGTTTGATGAAGGCCAAGTTGTTGTTTGAGAGTTCATAACACATAGAAATCGCCCTGTAAGAGAAGACAATTAATTTTAATAATTTAATAAGGTTTCATAATTTGCTGATTTTAAAATCTGCATTGGTCAGGCAAACAAACCTGCTCTGTTACAGTCCAAATATTTCTTGACATATTTAAAGGAATAACTACAGGACTCCAATATTTCCATTTCTAAAGATTTTAGGATCTAAAATTCTGCTTTGGGTTTAAGTAGGTTTTACTCTTACTCAAAATCAGCACCTCGAGATAGTACTCACAGAATAATACCACTTTCAGACACTTGTAAAGTCACGCTCTAAATCACTTCGCAACTTCTTAACTTTGCAGTTGCAGACTTCAGAGTCATAATAACAGAGCCCGCTGCAGTGGCTGGGGGGGGCAGGGTGCTGGCCTGTAAGCAAACCAATAAAACAAAGTAAAAATAAAAAAGGTTACTACTAAGAAACTTTCTGAAAGCACCCTTCTCCATAGTCAGAAGCAGGTAAGAAGGTTTGCTAGGTATCACTTAAAAGCTCTACTCCAACAGTGGACAGATTGCACTCCAAAGACTGTGAACTTCTGTAATGCACAGCTCGATTTACATGTCAACTGAAGAAAGACCTGATAAGATGTAATACTTTGAGCAAACTATTTTTTTGTCTTCTCATTAAAGTGAGTGAAACCCAGAGAAAGCAAGAGAAAGAGAGAAAGTGAGAGAGAAAGAGAAAGATAGAAGAAGAAAGCAAGCAAAAGGAAGAAAGTGAAAGAAAGAGAGAAAAGGGAAGGAGGGAGGAAGGACGGAAAGGAAGGAAGGAAGGGAGGAAGGAAGGGAAAGAAGGAAAGGAAGGGAGGAAGGGAAGGAAGGGAAGGAAGAGAAGGAAGAAAGGGAAGGAAGGGAGGAAGGGAAGGAAGGGAGGAAGGGAAGGAAGGGAGGAAGGGAAGGAAGGGAAGGGAGGGAAGGAAGGGAAGGGAGGGAAGGAGGAAGGAAGGAAGGAAGGAAGGGAAGGAAGGGAAGGGAGGGATTGAGAGAGGGAAAGGAAGAAAGGGAGAGAGAGAGGGAAAGGAAGAAAGGGAGAGAGAGAGGGAGGAAGGGGGGGGAAGAGATGGAGGAAGGGGGAAAGAGAAGGAGGAAGGGAGAGAGAGAGGGAGGGAAGGAGAGAGGGAGGAAGAGGAAGAAAGAAAATTCTTATGTAGACTTGATTGTGATCTTTCTTGCTCATTTTCCTGTGTGTCTGTGAACCATGTTTCTTTGGCTTTGTCTGATGCAATGGTGCCTGCTTTACACACCGAGGAGTCTGTCAAGGTTGATTTGCCATGATTAGCATGAGCAACCACCCATATATTCCTGATCTTGGCCTTATCCAGGATTGGTAGCATCTGGTCTATTGTGAAATTCACCTGGATGTGGGAGAAAAAAAACAACAACAAAATCAGCTACTGTTTCTTGTTAAAATCTATACACGTTTATGTGTAATTTTAAACTTTTACTATTTGTTATTAAATTCTAAATTCAAAGAAGAAATGAAGTTACTCATACTTTTAAGCTTACTATTATAAATAGCTGTTCACATTTTTGGCATGTTTTTGTAAGTATGAAGTGTGGAGGCATAACTTAAAACACAGCTCAGATTTTGTATCACAAAATGTCAACCACCACAAAACCGAAGAATCCACCTGCGAAGAGAGAACAGCTCATCCCTACCAAATGGTACACGCAGGTTAGCACACACAACTGCAAGCTGCAGCTCTCATCAGAAATCCTACACATCTGCCCTCCATCTCCCATGGTTTTCCAGGTGATCTACTCTTCCTGGTTTCGGGAAGAGGCTGGGTTTTCTCCTTCTGTAGCCAATATACTCTAGAAACTGAAGTAAAAAACCTTTAAGACTTCTATTATCCAAGTGCAAAATTTGTAGAGCTCCTCTCACAGATGATAACCCAGAAAGAACTTTTTCTTATTTCTGTAATTGTTCTATTGTTCTATCTCTGTACTAAGAACAATTCTCCTTCAATTTGCAGGAAAGAACATCTTGACCTTCAGAAGCATTGGTAATTATCTATTGAGCAGAATGACAACTTAGCAAAGTAAGATGAGATCGTACTAATCTCGGTCTGCCTCATTCTGTAATGAGTCACCTGTAGGTCACAGGAGTACAGTTAATGTGGTTATTCTTGCCAGTCCCTTTAATGTATGAAGTCCTTCACCAGAACATGGAAAAAGACAGAACTGGGAGGAGAAAATGAAGGGGAAAGTTAAATAAACAAAACCAGATGTCATTATGCCACCTCAGTCGTTTATACTAATTGCTCAAGTAAGAAATTTGTACTGTAAAAAAGACTTAAACAGGCTCCTCATCTGTGCTGGAGTTGCAAATGACAGAGAAATAACACGAACAAAGGTTTTCAACACAGTCTGGGTATTACTAAGTGCATCTGAACACAGAGAACTTGTCTTCCTGCAAGGATAAGAGGTTAATTAAAAAAAACCCCAAAAGTCCCAACAATTCATCCCTACTCAAAATATATGTAGGAGACAAAACAAGTTTGTTTTGTTTTTTTGCATGAACAGATGCAATTCTGATATATATTACTGCATAATCTCATACTAACTTTGGATCTTAGGTTCGATTTTTTCATTATATGTTTTCTCAAGAAAATTGTTCTTATTAAGAAAATGAATACTTCAATTAAAATTACATTAAGACAGCCAAGTTTCTTTTAGAGGTGAGAAATATCCAAAATAAGCAGCAGCCTGGCCTCTTCCCCCCAAAACATATTATTTCACTGCTCTTCCCTACATTTACAATTTCCTTCCTATCTCCAAGTCTGCAACGGAGAAAACAACCAACCCACCCCCCATCTTTTTTCTGCTAAAAAAAAATTTAGTACAAACATAATTTTTAAGAGTATGCTTATGGTTTTGTCAGTGATCTACCTCAAATGAAGGAAATTAATTTCTAGCTTTAATCTGCCACTGATATTTCTTTTTCTAGAATCTTCAGGTGTGTCCTGGCATCCAAAATCTCATTCCAAGCAAAATTTACATATTTTTTTCTAATACCTGGAAATACATCTTGCTTTTCCTTTCTTCTCTTTCTTTTCTATTTAAACAGCACCACTACTTAATTTTCTACTTTCATCACCTTTCCTGTTTTAAATTGTGCTGTGCTAAAATTACCCAGTATTTTTAGTGACAATTCAGTGCTAGAGAAGCACCATATACATTTAATTCATAATGTAAATAAACAATTCAGTATAAGAAGTATGCCTGTGTATACCTCCTCTTTGTATTTGCTAATTACATATTTAATGGATCAAGTGAAGTTTACTTTTGATAAATGCTTAACTAGCACAGATACCACATATTGAACTGAAACCTGTATTTTTTTCATTGTCTCCCAGCACATTTATATACACAGGCTACACTGCAGTTTTCTTTTGGGGTATGGAGCAGAGATGACCAAAATGGTTCATTTCTTCCTCACAGTTTAAGCACAGAGGCCTCCTACGCGTGACCATGTATTTTAATTCTAGATGTAAACATCACACACATGTTCCTTCAACAGAACTGGATGTTCTCCTACAGACTATTTATGCAATTAATATAATCTGAGAAAGGAGGGTATCAGGTTTGTAAAACCTTGAATTGTGTCTAAAAATGATGGAGCTCTCCATCTGGATTAATTCTCTCTCAATGTTACAAAAGTAGAATGAAAAGACATACACAGAGGTTCTGTAATACAAGACATGGATGGAAAATGTTAGTTTTGCACTTTAGTTGCTCGGTGTTTCAAGAAGTCATTAAAATATTACATTGTGATGGGACTGGAGTAACATGGGTTTTAGATGGAAAAGAATCGCTATGTCATGGTGATGGGAAAGAGAGATTAAAAGCTCTAGAGCAGGGTAAGGCAGTGCTGGGTGGGAAGAGAAAGACAAGGGGAATCTACAACCAAGTTTAAGGGGTTAGATGGACTGTGGGACCTAAAGCTCCACAGTATTACAACTAAGCAGAAATCACCACAGTCAAGGAAGTAAAGAGGCAGGCCTCCATAAGTGACCTCAAAGCTTCTTCTGGTAAGTCTCATGGCAGGTCAATGCCAACAACATGAACTTATTTTCATTTCCAACTTTCCACCTCAATCACAAGACTGCATCTCTTCCCAGAAACTGAAGGTCTAGTGTCTTAGATACTACTGCATTAGTACTTTTTGCCAGGTCTATGACAATATATCATACATGGGCATTACACTTTCAGCCTGTAAGAAGTTAATACTGAGAACCACACTTAGCTAAGTCTCACTCCTTTATTATTTCTTGGTTCATCCCTTGGCCTAAATGAGTATTTTTAAGAGCTAGCGCGCTTTTAATTCACTTTGTTATATCACAGTAGCTGTTCTTGTTAATATAACTGGGTGAACCCTCTTTAAGTTTCTGCTAATTAGCTTGTTAATAAAATATACTATATTAGAAAAGATAAAGAGTTCAATCAAGCATTAATATTAATGTCTTACCAGACCTTCTTGCAGGAACTTTGGGATTATGTATTAATAAATGCTATCCACTTCCAAACATTTTACTTACCACTTCATTTACATAAATGCCAAACTAGAGTTTACCATATGTGCTGTTCTTTAAGAGAGAGGCACTGGCATCACATTTTTTGGGGTCATAAATGGAACTGAAAACACAAAGGCCCATTAAAAATTAATAGCTATTTTAATCTTAAATGTTTTTCAGTAAAGAGCTGTTACAGAGTTTCTGCCCCGCTGTGACAGTCAGCAACCAGATCAAAGTTACCTTGCTGTGAAATTCTTGCTACCAGGCTAAGCTCTTCTGTGTGCAATAGCCAGGGACAAAAACATGAAGGAGATGAAAGCAACGTTTTTAGAAGGCAGAAACTTCACTGCTTCATTATAAACAGAACATCACTTTTGCCTAAACCCTCAAGTCTCATGGCCACTACAACCTGAAAATGACTTTGCTCTTTTTAATTACTGCATTACATCATTTAGGTAGCCTAAACTGTGCTGCTTATCCCTCGCTATCAGTAACAACTCCAGAGTAATTGCCTTTCTCTCCTCCAAGGCATCTCTTGCTCTTAAAGATGTTCAAATTCGTACTGTAACAAACCATTACATGGCTTCAATTCATAGACACATATTCTAAAACCAAAGAAAAACGAAACAGTAATACATATACAGTGAAAAATTACAAGAACTTAAAAAAAAGGAGGAAGGAGTTCCAATGGCGTTATCAAGAAACGCAAAAATGTACGCGCATCTGTTTATCACAGAAACAGGGTGGTAAATCCTGATTCAGCAGAAAAAAAAAAAAAGGCTCAAACCAGTTGAAACGTGTGAAACGCACTATCAGAGCCGTGGTGATTTAAAATAACGGGGCAGGCTTGATAAGGGGGAAAATACATTTAAAAAATAGAACAACTCACCCTGCAGTCTTTCTAAAAGTGACTGATTTCTCTGAGAAACTGCTAATCTGATTCAGGTCAGACCATTCTACCTAGAGATAAATGCAGTGTAATACATGTATTCACACATACTTGAGCAACCAGCCCCAGCGGAAGGTGTCCCTGCCTGTGGTAGGGGGTGGAACTCGTAAGGTCCCTTTCAACCCACTCTGTAATTCTATGGTATGCATGGCCTTTTCCCAGTCCTCCTACCGTTGTAAACGTTACAAAGCTGTACGCCCTAACAAAAGAACACGAGTAGGACAAGAACGAATAAATAATCTCAGCGGTCCCACAGCACGGTCAGGGCCACCTCAGCGCTACCGCCCGCACTCCCGTCAATACCGGCAGAGGGCGGGAGCCGCCTTCCCCGCTCCTAAGCCGGAGCCCGGCACTGAGCCGGAAGGAGGGAGAGCTCTTGACAAGTACCGTGCCCCTGCGAGGGTCAAGCGGGGGTGCTCTGCCCGGCTGCCCTTCACCAGCCCGCCGTGCCTGACTGGCTGCACTGGACTGGCGCGGTGGGAAACATGGCGGCCGTGGCCCCGTCGGGCAGCCTCGGAGCACCTCCGTGAGCAGTGTCTTGGCCTCTTCCCCCCCCCCCACCCCGGAGCTCTCACTCACCGTCGCAGCGGATGGCTCCGGATGCCACCGGCCGCCGCCGCCTCAGCCGGGAGGAGGGAACGAGCCCGAGGATCCCGCTCCCCCCCGCCGAGCGCTCGGGGTGTGCCGAAGGGCGGGCTCTCTCCCCTCACGGGCGCCTGTCCCGCTCGGCCGCCGCCTGCTCCCGCTGTGATCTTCCCCGGAGGTGAGCTGCCCGCTCCCGCTGCGAGCCTCCCGGCCGCTTTTCCTCGGAGCTCCCTTCCAGCGGTGTCCCTTTGACTCTAACGCCGCCATGACCCTCGAGGGTCTCTCGCTCCCTCACACGGGGGCCGGCTCCCGGGGTACCGTGAAGGGGCGGCGCGGCGTACCAGGCAGAGCTGCCACACAGCGGGTTATGGCTGCCCGGGGCTCGCTGGTAGCCCGGTGGCTGCGGGGAGGTGGAGGAAAGCCCCGATTGCCACCATCGCGCTAGTGCGTGCGGGCTCTTGTCAGCTCTCGGGTAAACGCTAGGTGGAGCCCCTTCCCTTTCGTTCCTTTCCTTCAGCCGAGGCGGCTATGGTGGTTCTCCGCTCGGCCGCTGCGGTGGGTTTTTGCTCTCCGGATGTTTATAGTGTCGGAACGGCAGGTTTGATTGTCTTGCTTTGAGCAGGCTTCGGTGCCGTAACCCCTTATTAGTCTCTTTTAAAAATAGGTTAAATGACTGATGGGTTCGCTGCTGAAACGTGAAGGTGACATCGCGTGCCGTTAAAAATAACTTCCTGTCATGGAAGACGCTGAGGTAATAACAGCACTTCACGTTTTTAACACAGACGTTTAGTCGCAAATGTCTCTTGGAAGTGTTGGATAATTAAACTGTCAAGCACAGGGGAGCACAAGAATACCTTCACTGAAAGCACCAACTTCTGGGATCAAACTAAGGGAAAATCTATAAAATAATACTTCCTAAGTGAAGATAAGGCTGTAGAACCAAACTGTTATGTAAGCATATTACCATATTCATCAAATTAATAATGATGATTACCAAATTCATCAAATGAATAATTCATCAGGACCTGTAGGGCCAGGCCAAGGGGAATGGCTTTAACCTGCCCGAGGGGAGACTGAGATGAGCTCTTAGGCAGAAGCTCTTCCCTGTGAGGGTGCTGAGGCGCTGGCACAGGGTGCCCAGAGAAGCTGTGGCTGCCCCATCCCTGGCAGTGTTCAAGGCCAGGTTGGACACAGGGGCTTGGAGCAAGCTGCTCTAGTGGGAGGTGTCCCTGCCTGTGGCAGGGGGTTGGAAATGGATGAGCCTTAAGATCCCTTCCCACAAACCAGTCTGTGATTATATGATTCTTCCCATTCATTCCCTGTGACTTTACACTGCTGTTCTACTCATCTCTTTCTCTTGAACAAGAAGAAATATTTACCAGATACTTTGCTGGTAAGCTTTTCCTACCCAAAGGTTCATTTTTCTTTTAGCATATCTTCCAGGGTCTGTGAAGCAGATGTCAGAGGTCCTCCTGTAATGAATCAGGTTGTGTCACAGCAGAGGAAAAGCACTGTTGTTTTGTTCTGAAGATCTGGGCAGCACTTACATGGGCTTCCTTATGCAGACTGAGCTCTGTGGACAGTTCTCTGTCAACATGTACAGTTCTTTCTGAAGACTTGAGGGCTCATCACAGAACCACATTTTCCTTGTGCCTGTGTGCATGCATACACGCTATTTTAGGGCCATTTTCACAGCTGGTGTTCAACCGTGACCCTATAAATATGATTGAAATTAGCTTCATTTTCCTTTATCTTTTACTGCATTCCAATTTATGCCAAATTCTGCAAGAAAACAAAGCTTTCAGAGCAGTTGAAAAGTTTCCAATTCAAGAGTCTCCCTGAAAAAATTAAAAACTCAGGCCCTCAGTGTTTACTGGCTTGGCATCTTCATGGGTATTTTATTCTTTATATGACCTCCTTTCCATTTAAAAATGAGAACTCGTACACAAAGTACTTTTCAGCCTGTACACTACCCAAAGAATCTTCTTATAGGTGCCAGCCCTTCCTTTTCCCACATTTGTTTTTCCCAAGAACACAGCCTCCTTTTTTTATTTCTGGCGCAATTACTTATTTTCACCTTCACAGCATCACCTTCAGCCATGGATATAGAGTGCTGTACTAGACCTCGTCTGATTGTATCTGCAGTAAAACCAGAGTCCGCTAAATAGTGCCTGAAGAATTAAAGTTGTGCCTATAGAGATAGCTGGCTGCTTGCTATTCAGTGCAAATTTTAAGGGCATAAGTAGAATTGAAGCAATACATTATTGTTCTGCCTGGCTTCTGCATTCCGACTTGATTTTTTTTTAGTATGTTGTGATGTGCCTTAGAGAATCTAAAATCATTTCCTTAATAATAATTGCTCTGTATTTAGAGAGGTGTAAATAACAGTAGACTGTAGAAAATTGTGGAGGTTTGGAAAACTCTGAAAAGAGAGGTTTGTAAAAGCTGTAGCTTCATGAAAAGAAGTTGCTCCAGATGCACTCATTATTGCTTCACCATTGTATTAATGGTACAAAGAGGCAGCGTCTTTATTCAGTATAGTAGGAAAAAGATGCTTTGTGGGTTTATACCTTTATATCTGTGCAGCAGGAGCAGTCATGGTGGAACAGGAGGAGCCGTTTTCTACTTCCAGTGTTTCTTTAGAGTTTTTAGTCCATTTTTGCTTACCTGTTTTGCTGTGGGTCCTCTCTTTTTCATACGTGTTGCATAAGTTCTTCGTATGTAGTGCCTGATGCACTTTGGTCTAGATTCTGCTTTCTGTTCAGTTGGTTTTCTTTGTAGTGCGTGGAGTACTTGGTTTTCCATGGCTGTAACTGAGAATGTCTATACAAATGAATTTTGGTAACTTTCAGTAGTTTAGAAGATGGATGTTACCAAAGGTTACTTGTGCATAGACTTGTGTGGGCAGGCAGGACCTACTCTTGCATCCAGGTTAGCCAAGCAGAAGGCAGCTCTGACGTAAAGGCGCACGGCCTATCTGCTCTGGTTTTGAGCCAGTAATGTCCCTCTTTTCTCAGGGTGGCACTCTATTATCATTACTGTATAGCTTTCACACTGGTATTGCCTCAGATCTTGGGAGTTTTGAGTGCATCTGAAGAGCTCAAGTCTGCCTTTGCCTGCTTGTATATAGGATTTTCTTCCAGAACAGTTCAAATTTGAACCTTTTTTGGATAAGAATCTTACCTTATCCACCTTAGCCAACAACTTAGCTTGTTGAGTAAATCCAGGGTCTTATTTGTGTGTTATTCAAATGTGTTGACTGAAATATTTTTTCATTCACAGTATTAGTACACTTAAGAAACTGCAGTTAATTCAGATCGAGTGGTAGCCCATTTTATTTAAAATCGCACTTCTCTAAACCAAACCATCAATACCTCTGAGGAGATCCTCTGAAGGCAGCAGGTTTATCCATGTTTCAGTATATTACCTATTTGGATCCAATTTCTAGTAATGATGCATAAGAAAAACAAAAATGCAACTTTATTATTAAGCCAATCTAAAAGGAATGCTTTCACTGTTGTAAGGTGCCTGATGAGGTTTACAGCTCGCTCTTTACAGCTGATGATTCACAGCATTTTTGGACCACTAACAGGGACCAGTCCTGCAGATTTTTCATCAAGGAAGCAGCTGACCATTTCCTCAAAATACTACTGTGAATATTCTGCTTTGCAATATTTCTGTATGGCTAAAAGCCTCTGATGGATGTGCTTGTGACAGCAAAAAGGTACCTGGCCAATAGAGTGTTAGAACTTATGTGAAACTGATGCCCAGTAAACCTTGTAAAGAGCATAAAAAGTCTAAAATATTTGATTTTTAGGACTGTGAAAAGAAAATCCTATTAGTTGCAAGTTGAAGTTGAATGGTATATAATAATCTTGAAAGGCAGAGAATAATTTCACCACAAGTTTTGGGGATTTTCCAGGGTAGCTCTGCTTTTAAAGCAGAAAGTTTTCTTAATCTGTTGCCGTAGGTTTTTTTGACTTATTAACCTTTCATGTCAAGCAGCCTGTGGGTTTGAACTTTTGACTATCCCACTAAACTGAATTTCATCCTGAAACTTAGGTAACCAAGGGTACATGGTTATATATTATATATTAAGTATTACTTTAACTTATTTTCCTTATAGGGTTTTTCCTAACAGCATGCAACTTATTTAAAAATATCAATCAGCAAGCTGATGTGTTCTTTTGCTACTTTTTTCCTTTGATTATGCATTGTCTATAGTCAAGCAGTCTCTTCAGATTTTGTCTGCACCCCAGAAATGCCTGGTTCAGTCTCACAAAATATTAGACTTTTAACAGAGTTGCAGGGCCTGCCTAGTGATGGAAAGAGACAGGCACTTCAGGAAGGCATTTCAGCTTTTTGTTTGCCTATGATTTGTTGTGGCTGAATGACTAGTAGAATATGCCACATGGTATTACTTCTGCTCCTTCAGTGAATAGTTTGCAAGGATATACAATATTGATGCTAACACATAAAAGCAGCACGTGATTTTCAAAAGCACTGTCTTTGTGTTGCATTTATTCTGTTCTCCTTAGATCAGTGAGACTGAGGTTATCATTGGTTTGAAATAGTTTGTGCCCAAATGACTGTTCTTGAAAACCCAAGTTGTAAAAATGATTTTTCTGCAAAGATCACTGTGTGTAAATTTGGAATGGATCATGCGATAATTTGTGCTAGTGAAACACACTTGCCTGTGTACTTGCACCAAATGAGCAAGAACATGACTGAACCAAGTTAATTTGAGTTGAAAGTTGGTCTCCTAAATAGAGCACCTATTGCTATTGGTTTGGGAAGTGAATGATACTGCTTACCTACCTTATCATAATTCATTATTATGATGCATCTTACAATTAAGTACAGCTATTCTAAATAATAATATTGAATACAGTGATATGGGTGTAGAAGCAGTGATGTTTTATCAGAGACTCTGTAGTGTTCATTCAGTTCTCGTTATAAAATAGCATGAAAGGAAGGAAGTGTTTCTGTGCTTCAGGAAGAATACAGGCAGGCTTTATACAGTGAATTAAATAAGGGATACCACTCAGCTTTCTGATAATTTTGCTACATTCAGAACAT